TGACAGAGTTTTCCTCTTGTTGCCCAGGCTGGAGAGCAATGGCACGATCTCGGCTCACTGCAACCTCCACCTCCTGGGTTCAGGAGATTCTCCTGTCTCAGCCTCTCGAGTAGCTGGGATTACAGGAATGTGTCACCACGCCGGGCTAATTTTGTATTTTTAGTAGGGATTAGGTTTCTCCATGTTGATCAGGCAGGTCTCAAACTCCCAACCTCAGGTGATCCACCCATTTCAGCCTCCCAAAGTGCTGGGATTACAGACGTAAGCCACTGTGCCCAGCCTGCCATGGATCCTTTATAGTCCACTTTAATGTCAAATTGGGTCTCTATGAGTGAAAATTTTCTTGGTACAATAATGAGTCCATTTAATTTTTTTAAACAGTATGTTGCTTTGGTTCCTTTTATCAGCACACATAAAAACATTTTGTGTTAACCATGTCATATAAAATGTCTTCACTTTGCAATCTTAAACAAATGAACTGGGATTTAAAAGTTTTTTTTGTTGTTGTTAATTATCTGTTAATAATTTGAGCACTTTTATCAATAGAAATAATGTTGTAAGTGGTTAGTAGATTCCTAGGCTAGCCCCTAATGTGGTTAATGGTATTCATCTAAGTTCTGATTTTTGGAGCAAGAGGAAAAGGAGAAGGAGGAGAAAGAAGATGAAAATGAGAAAAGAAAATAGGGGAAGTGGTATAGCAGGGGCAAAGACAGATGACACAAAGAAAGATAAGGAAAGGAATGTGAAAGGCTGGAAAAGAAGAACTTTCCTCTCTGTTAGGCCATGCTCTAAGCAAAATTTTGAGATAGATGCAAATGCGTTTTGTGTCCTCCAATTTTCACTTCTGCATCCATCTTCCTGGAACCCTGGTCCCCTCATTGGGTCCTGAGGTCCCACCCTATCCATGACTGTGTTACCTCCACCCCAACAAATGCAGTCTCCAAACTCTTATTTCTCAGTGCATCTGTTCTTAGCAGGGTATTTGGAAAAGATCAGTTTCAGAGAACCTAATCATTTTATAAAACTCGTAGTCCCCAAACCTCTGAAATTGATTATTCTCTACTTAGGGGAATTCCAAGCAATGTCACAAAATGAAACAGAAAAAAATTTAAGGCAGTATTTTGAAAGAAGATATGTTTCTTGGGGGTCACCTCCTAGGTGGAGCTCCACTAAGCAGTCTCTAGGGTGTATTGCTTTCTCCATTTCCGATGGGACATTTCCCTGCAGGTTCCTAATTGTGGAGACGTAGCCTAGCTGGCTCCCAAGACCTGTCCCTGGACAGAATCACGTTGGTTTTTTGGTTTCTTTTTCTTTTGTTTTTCATGGAGCCAGTGGAGAGAGGCACAGCTGTGGCTAGGGATACCTATTTCATGGCCTTATTTCCAGATTCCTTCTGCAGATTATCCATTGTTTGCCAAAGTTAGAGGCAGCTGAACAGTTACTATGTTAGTAAATAAATGTGACAACATAGCTTTTGTTGCTTGGCATTGGGAAGGTTTTAAAGTAAGAAAAATCAGGAAAGTTGTTGGCAATGCTGGTAACATTTTCAATACTATGCGATTTTAGGGACGAGTCCCTGTTGAAAAGAGCCATATCTAAGAATGAAATATACATACATGGCTGCCAGCCTTTGTGTAACCACGTGGGCTTCTCTGTGGAGTCACCATCCCCACTGCTATGGATGAATAAGCTCTGCTCTGGGAAGGGATGCTTGGCCTCCATGTTGATGCGCAGCCTCTTCAGACCACAAATAGCCAGGTATTCAGTGGGGAGAGTGTTGGTACTGCACAAGGAAAGCTTCAGGTCTTGGACCAGTGTGAAATTCAACAGGCGGCCCAGCGCAGATGTGTCCGTGAACCAGATGGTCAGATGGCCGTGATAGCTGGTTCGCTCCACAGCAAGGGGCAGGACAGTTTTACAGCTGCACATCAGGTTGGCCAAACTGTAGTCACAATCCCGGATGTCTGCAGAGCAGCTACAGTTCTGAATGGTGTTTTCCTTTGTGAAGATGAGCGTGCTGTTCTTCTGACCTTTGGTGAAGCGGTTAAGTGCAAAGACGCCCAGAGCACTGATCAGAAGGAGACAGGGCCTGGGAGGCAGTGCCATTCTCGCCCAGTGTGGGCCAGTGTGTTCATACCCCACCTCTGTGAGCCAATTTGTTGGAACTTACCTGAAAGAAAACAGGCAGCTTTATTACAACCTTTCATTTGAAATACATGGCTTATGGAAAAGGAACCCCAGAAGAAACAAGTGGTAAACATTTCTTTCTTGCAGTTCTAGTAACTGTTGCTTGCAGCTCCAGCACTGGGAAAGCTGTTTTCTCAGCACCTCATCCAGAGACAGCAGCCAAACCTCTGAGCTCTGCTCATCCGAGGTGTAAAACTCCCCATGATGTCGGCTGACAGTGAGACCAACGTGCCAACAACGCAGCTAGAGCAATGCCAAAGCAGATGCCAGATGGGAGACCTACCGCATCCTATCAACAAGCAGGGATTTGGAGTGGAGAGAGCACATTCTCCAAACATCCAATTACCAGTATCTAGCACCCGAAAACCCCTAAACATACCCATGGTCTCCTCCCCCTCAATATCTGACTTCCTGGAATGCAAGAGACAAACACTTCTTTGCTGGATTTAGCTATCCGAGTGCTACCTATTACACAGCATAGCATGAATACCAATGAAGCAGTTAGTTAATGGTTAACTCTCATTTCTAAGTGGATAAACATGCCTTCCGTCCCCACCACGTTAATGTTTATGGGTCCATTCATCCTTTTCAGCCCCTCCTACAAATGTAGCTAGGTAACTGTAATAGTAGACAACACAAATACTAATCAACCACCATTTAATCACAGTTATTTTGATTTCACTACTCTGCCAGAAGAAATGTATGAATACGTGGCTGAAATGCGGTACGCTCTGCCGTAATGCTCATCTCATCTCGTTCCAATCACACCATTATTGCAGGGCTCCAAAACAAAACCATGTATAAGAACTTCTAAAAAATCTAAATAAGGTAGGGATGCATGTGTAATTTAAAGAGCAACAATGTCCAGTTTGCAGGGAAATGCCCTACGGTGTCTGGCATATGATAGGTGCATGGTCCTCCTTTGTGGTGTGACTGGAATGAGGTGAGTTGAACGTTAGGGCAGAGCGCACCACATTTCAGTTTGGCAAAAGTAATCATATTCCCCCAGTGACTGAAGAGAGAAACCAAACAATACAATTCAGTCCATCTCCGTCTACTGAGCTCCGTGGGTGTGGTGGGATGCTTGGCATGAGACCTCTGAGTGGGAGGGCCCAGAGCTTCCGGCGGGGCCACTACAGTAAGGGCCAGGGAACGACAGAGGGAAGGCCGTTCTGAGGAGCTCGACATGTCCAAAGAGTATGGTGACAGCAGAAAAGAGGCTAGGCAGACAAGCAGCAATTAATGTATAAGACAAGGTCACAAGGCGATTAGAAATCCAAAGGAATCAAAGTTGACAATGCCAGGGATCAGGTACACAGGCAGGAGGCACAAGCCACAACCCCATGGCTGAAGTGCCAGGAGGACAGAAGTCAGCTCTGCCACGTAAACTTGAAGAGGTTGAGACATTGACTCACAGCAATTGTTACTATATTCATGCATTCATCCCTTCATCTCTCCCTCCCTCCCTCCCTCCTTCCTTCTTTCCCTAGCTCCCTTCCTTCTTTTCCTCCTGCCTTCCTTCCATCCTTCCTTCCTTCCCTCCTTCCCTCCTTTCCTCCTTCCTTCCTTCCCTCTTTCCTTCCTTCAACTAATGCTTATTGAAAGGTGGCAGGCCTTCTGCTAGCCATGGGGGTACAACTCAGAACAAGACAACCCAGAGCCCACCCCTCATAGAACTTATGTCCTAATGAAATTGACTCTGCTTCCAATGGGCTGGGGCATCAGAGCCCAAGGCCGGGCCAGTCCTGCATGTGGCGGCAGAGAGGCGGCGGCAGAGAGGCTGCAGCAGCAGGGAGGAGGCAGGAGAAGGGGCAAACGCAGGCATTGGGCAGGGCCCAGCTTGGGCCGTGTGCCAGGCCCTGGCTTAGGCCAAGCAGAAGAAACAAAGATACAAAAGACCTGGAGCTCTATCCTCTAGGGCTTATCCTCAAAGGAAAAAAGACAAATAAGGCTGAACTGAGAAGAGCTGTGCTGAACATGGAGACAGTTATGAGAACACAGCAGAGAGAGTGATTCGATTCCACATAGGGGACTGGATAAGGCGGTTTATAGTGCTTTGTGTCTATTTTAAAGTTGGCACAGGATTTTCTTAAAGCCTTTATATTTTGTCATGGAAGAAAGAGCTTTGAGAAACATGGAGAACAAGAATTCTCTCTGAACAAGAGGCTTAACAGTCTTGAGCGGTGTTAGAACGTGGGCGTGTCTACCCCCCTTAGTGAGGAACAGTGAATAATTTGTTAATTACAAGATAATTTTAGACAATCAGCTGTCCCAGATTCCACTGGAGGCCTCTGGGACTTCATGTCCCAGTAACCTTGTCATCCCAGAACCAGGAATACCGTTAACACCGTTGGCCCACTCTGACCCCAGGCCTTAAAAGGAAAGGGAGAGAAGAGGTCTATTCATCAGCCCCCTGGTGAAAAAGTGTCTGCCTCCCTCTTTCAGGTGCTGATGCTGTTCAGAGGCAGCCATGGAAGAGGAAAAGAGATCAGAAGAGAGAAGGATATTGGTTTGCTGGAATGTGTGGGACGAGAATTTCCCAAAAGGATTTTTGAGCAACCTTCCAACAGTCAAGGCCCTGGCTGGACCTCAGGATGGTCCCTGGCTCCTGGACATCAGGAAGCCCAAAGGCCAGAACAAGGACACGTGCCCAGTGGGGGAAGGCTCACTAAGAGGGCAAAGAATGGGGCAAATACTCCAGCAACGCATTTATAGGGGCTGCCACAGAGATGCCAGTTGGGCATTTTCCTCCTTCAGTTTACCATGAATTTTTTTTTTTTTTTTTAGTTGGAGCCTCGATCTGTTGCCCAGCCTGGAGTGCAGTGGTGCAATCTCAGCTCACTGCAAGCTCTGCCACCCAGATTCAAGCGATTCTCTTGTCTCAGCCTCCCAAGTAGCTGAGATTACTGGCACGCACCACCATGCCTGGCTAATTTTTGTATTTTTAGTAAAAATGGGGTTTCACCATGTTAGCCAGACTGGCCTCGAGCTCCTGACCTCAGGATGATCCACCCATCTCGGTCTCCCAAAGTACTGGGATTACAGGTGTGAGCCACCACAGCCAGCTGTACTGTGATGATTAGTTCAAGATATTCGTTCACTGGGGTAAACACCTTGAGAGAGCAGTTTCTTGGCTGCATAGTCTCAATTTCCTGCACAGTGCCTAGCATGTAGCAAGGACTCAACACATTTCATTGAATGAATGAAAAAACTTAGTTTACCAATGTCAGTGTACTCAAACTCTTTTAACTGCTAGCTATAGAAATCCAATTAAGACTGACTTGAGAAAAAAAAATCTGCTTACTTATTTGAAAAATTAAGGAAGGATTCAGGCATGGCTTGATCCAGCTACTCAAAAAGAGGTTGTCAGAAATGTCTCTCTGTTTTTCAGTTTTTCTTTCTCATTTGTGGGCTTTATGCCCAGACAAGATCACTCCTTCTGGGGACAACATGGTCACTAGTAGATCCAGGTTTACTTTCTATCAGTTGAGCAACCTCTCAAGAAAAGAAAAAAAAAAATCTCTTTAAATAGTACCAGGCTGCTGGATGTGGTATCTCATACCTGTAATACCAGCACTTTGGAAGGCCAAGGTAGGAGGATTGTGGGAAACCAGGAGTTTAAGACCAGCCTGGCCAACATTGTGAGACCTAATCTCTACAAACAGAATAAATTGGTTGGACATGATGACATGCACCTATAGTCCCAGCTACTTGGGAGTCTGAGGCGGAAGGATCACTTGAGTCTGATAATTCAAGGCTGTGGTGAGCTGTGATTGTATCACTGCACTCCAGCCCAGATGACAGAACAAGACTCCATCTCTAATAAATAAATAATTATGGCAGGTGCAGTGGCTCAGGCCTGTAATCCCAGAATTTTGGGAGGCCAAGACAGGCAGCTCTCGAGCTCAGGAGTTCAAGACTGGCCTGGTCAACATGGTGAAACTCCGTCTCTACCAAAAATACAAAAATTAGCTGGGCATGGTGGTGTGCACCTGTAATCCCAGCTACAGGGAGGCTGAGGCAGGAAAATCACTTGAACCCGGGAGGCAGAGGTTACAGTGAGCTGAGTTTGTGCCACTGCACTCCAGCCTGAGTGACAGAACGAGACCTTGCCACCAAAAAATAAATATATAAACAAACAAATAAGCAAATAAATAAATATTAGAAGGCAAAAATACATTGGTCTCCTGAGTCACATGCTCAGCTCTGGAGCCAATGAATGGGATCGGCCACATTGCAAACAATGGACTGAGGGTAGAAGGATGGTTCTGCAAAGGGCAGTCAGGAGGCACTATTAGAAAAGGGCCAGGTAGACAATCAGAAAAGCGGGTGTCCACAAGACCCATGGGGTGAGCACGGGTGAGCACGGGTGAGCAGAGCAATTCTGCTCCTCTCAGTCTCAGCAAACGCCAAAGCACCACTTTGATAAAACGCACTCTAAGAGTGCAGGCATATGTCTGACTTTGTGGGATATACTCAGAATTTCAAATTGTCTCCTTTGCTGGAAGGCCCCTGGTTTTTACCTTCCAAGAATCTTCAAGAACTTTTTCAGGGAAATCCTTTGGAGAGTGCATTTGTGAGAGATAAACTTGCTTATCTCTCCATGTCCTGGCTTCACAGTGTGTTCCTTGGGGTGCCCGGGGCCTGGCTTTCTTCTTCTGCCTTTAACCCCAGAGTCGTAACTCAGATCTCTACTTGAGACTGCTTCTCGCCAGGGCATCTCATCAGCTTCTGACTCTTGAGCCTTTCACACTTTATTGTCTTGAGCCTTTCCCCTAATTGCATTTCCACTTTAAAAATGAACATCACAGCCAGGCCTATAATCTCAGCACTTTGGTAGGCTGAGGGAGGCAGATCTTTCGAGGTCAGGAGTTCAAGAACGGCCTGGCCAACATGGTAAAACCCTGTCTCTACTAAAAATACAAAAATTAGCAGGGTGTGGTGGTGCACACCTGTAATCCCAGCTACTCTAGGGAGGCTGAGACACGAGAATCCCTGGAACTCAGGAGGCAGAGGTTGCAGTGAGCCAAGCCTGCACCACTGCACTACAGCTTGGGCGACAGAGTAAGTGAGACTCTGTCTCAAAAATAAAATAAAAACCACTTTTGATTTCAAATTAAACTGACTTCCAAATTAAAATGGTAAATTGCTTTTGATTTTTAATTGCTGTAAGAATTTGGAGAGCATGGCCTGATTTTTCCACAATTAGAGTTATTCATCTTTTGTGTTAGGACTATAGAGTTTAGAACGTTATTATTTATGACATTTCAAATTTGTTTCGGGCAAATGCTCCAAATGCTGTCCTCCCATGGACACAATATCTCCTTACTAGTAATATCTTCTTATAAACAGAACTAGTCTAATTTGAAACATTCCTTTTGAAGCCAAGTATAAACATTATCTGAACGTTGGGTGTAACCCTAGATTGAGAAGGAATCTGTGTGGAATTTGTTTTGAAGTAACTGATGGCTGATCTCAATTCAGAACCCTCTGCCTTTATGTAGCTAGTTGCTAGTATTGTTCTTGAGATTTCTTCAGCTGCAATAGAAAAACAATATTCAAACTGATTATGAATAGTAGTTCTGGTTTTTAAACATGTTCAGTGATTTAAAGGCTCAAAGATTTAATAACCATACACAGTTTTTAGCATCTTGACTGAAAATTTGGATGCATAGACATCCCCTGAGTTTTTATCATGGTTGCATCAAGCTACTTATTGTGTCTTACAATCAAAGTGTATCAGAGACTTCTAGTGCCTATGAATGCCATGCTCTCCTCTCCTTCCTTGGCACGCTGTTGGACTTTATTTCTGAGCTTCTGGCAGTGAAGTGGCACCATGTGGTTGAATTCTGGCCAATGGAATGTGGTGGAAGATTCCACGAAGGAACCGATGGCCCTAGAAGATGGCAGAAGTGTGGGCAAAAGGTTGAATCCCTGAATGATTGTATGGAACAGAGCACACCCCTCTTCCCACTTAATGGCATTAGTCTGTGATGTAAGGGAGGAACAGATCTCAATTACTCTAAACCACTGATATCTTGAAGTTTGTCAATACAGCCAGCCTACCTTGCTAGCTGGGTACAATACAGCAGGTGCTAATATTGCTTTGCAACTTATGATTTTTACATTCACTTTTCTCAAAAGAAAATGAGAAATCAACATTTAGAGGACATTTATTGGATGCTAGGCAAATGGCCTAAGTCATGGCGAAGCAAAAATGAAGATATCATCCATACCCTCAAGGGACTTGAAATTTGCCGGGAAAACTTGAAATGTACTCTGGGAACAAACAACTGGGCAACTAATTAGAAGACAATGTGATTGGTAGTTCTTAAAGATGCAGATGGAGGCTGGGCGCGGTGGCTCACACCTGTAACCCCAGCACTTTGGGAGGCCAAGGCGGGTGGATTACCTGAGGTTAGGAGTTCGAGACCAGACTAGCTAACATGGTGAAACACCATCTCTACTAAGAATACAAAATCTTAGCTGGTTGTGCTGGTGTGCACCTATAATCCCAGCTACTCAGGAGGCTAAGACAGGAGAATCGCTTGAACCTGGGAGGTGGAGGTTGCAGTGAGCCGAGATCACACCACTGCACTCTAGCCTGGTGCCTGGCGATGGAACGAGACTCTGTCTCAAAAAAAAAAAAAAAAAAATGCACATGGAGTGGTGGGAAGGAAGAAACGGAAAGACTCCCAAAGGTGTGCTCTTTGGGCCAGGTAGAGAAGGCGTTCAGGTTAGGAAAGGAGAGGCAGTGCACAGAGGTCAGAATGACTAAAGTCCTCCATATGTTAGAGCAAGTATAAGATGTCTGGAGGTCCATGAGGGGGGATGTAGGCAGGAGGACAGGGTTAGACAGGACCTTGCTGGTCAAGCTAAGGGGTTTGGATATTCTGCTGGTGGTGACTTGGTCTCCAAACTCTTCTGACCATCACCCCATCTACAAATAATTAAAAAACCCTCCCCAATAGCTGTCTCTGTTAATTTATAGAGGCCAATCATGTACTACCATACTTATATATCATCTATATTATCTACAATACACAAACAGTAGAATTTTTAAAAATTTGAGATGAAAAAGAAACAAAAATGAAAGTTTGAACATTTTCAGCTCTACCCCAGTAGCTTGGCTTGCAAACCTCCTGTGATGTCAACTCCCTCTTTGGAGGCTCCTGCAAGAGACAACAAATGAGGCAGTAAAGGTCTGCATCAGGAGACGTGTGCTTAGATCTTGTTTAAGGAAGGTAACCTAGGCTGCCAGGGAGAGACTGAATTGAAGGAGAAGATACTAGAGTCAGGACAATGAGTTCTAAGGAGGGGAACACTTTTCTTTCGTATTTTCTCCAGTGATTTCCACCTCTCCATTTGTTGACTCCTTCTAACTCCAGGCTCTTTGGGTAAATCTGCTTCAACATCTGGAATCCTTGAGAAGGCTGGGATGAGGATGAGGCTCTCTTCCTCCTATAAGCATGCAGTCAGGACACCTGCTAGGAACTCTGGGAGGGAACCAGTAATACAGGGAGGAGGAGAGCCCAGGGGACAGCACAGGAAAGCATTTGTCTCACTCTGTTGCCCAGGCTGGAGTGCAGTGGTGCAATCTTGGCTCAGTGCAACCTCCCCCTCCTGGGTTCAAGCAGTTCTCCTGCCTCAGCCTTCCATCATTGTCTCATTCTTAGCATCCCATCACTGTCTGGCTGGGAACACTACTCCTTGAGACATCCACTGTGAGCCCTCATAGCCACGAGAAAAATATAGCTCATTTTCTCAGAGTTAGGAGCCTCTGGGTGGCTTCATCAGCCTGGCAGCAAGCCTAGCTGCTAGTGCGGGCTAGTTATGGCAGGCTATGAGTAGGTAGAGTGGCTCTCCAATCCCCAGCTCCCCTCGAGGTGCCTTCCTCTAAATTCCTTGGTCATCCATTCTTTCCAGGAGCCAGTGCTGAAAACCTGCTCACAGATTGGGATCTGATACCAGTTGGTTAAACCTTAATTGGAATTTCAGCCAACACATTCTTGCCCAAGGGTATTTGCACAGTAAGCCTCATGACTACCTTGTTCCTTATTAGAGAGATAGCAAGGATTAAATAGAAAGTATGGGAGGAGTGTGGGGCAGAGACTCCACGCTAGGGCTGCAGAAACGAGTGATCACCTGTTCTCAGGTTCAGCGCCCGCTTATCCAGGGCTGTGCAAACCCTCCTCCAGTTTAGGTCAAGGAGGGGTGTTGGCTATTCTGTTATGTGGATGAGATGCCCACACTGGCGCTGTGTGAGGGCTTTAGGTGTAGACCTTGAAATGCTCTTGGAAAAAGGGATTTTTAGTATTTTTCTTTTCTTTGGCTTTGTCTCACGAATGCACAGCAGGAGGTAGGTTAGAGACAAACACTATGCAAGATGATATTTGATATCTTTGTTGTTTAATATTTTGAAGCTTATGAAGTTGAAAGCTAATTTGGGTCCCTCCCCAAGGTTTTCTTACTGTGATACGTGTTGCCTTTTATTTCTTTTTCACATTCCACAACAGCACATCTTCATCCTTGGTACGAGCCACTGAATTTTCACAGGCCCTTACAAGGATCTAATGCTGAGGTCACCATTCTGTGCAGCCTCTGTGGGTGAAGATCACTTCTCTTTCATTGCGGTTTACACAGTTCATTGTGAGGGGCAGGAAATGAGTTCCTGGTAATTCTGATGTGTTCAGAATCTTGTTTTGTTTATATAGTAGGATCTAAACTATATGCTATCAGCTGATATATTTGCTCATCTAGAAAAAGAGGAAGTAAAACTCATGTCTCCATAAGCTGGAATTATTCTGGCAAAATTAGCTTCAAGTATACAATTTGGGTTTTAAGAGGACAGACTTCAAAATATTTTTGTGGCTGAGTGCGGTGGCTCATGCCTGTAATCCCAGCACTTTGGGAGGCTGAGGTGGATCACCTGAGGTCAGGAGTTTGACCAACATGGAGAAGCCCCATCTCTACTAAAAATACAAAAAAATTAGCCAGGGGTGGTGGTGCATGCCTGTAATCCCAGCTACGCGGGAGGCTGAGGCAGGAGAATTGCTTGAACCTGGGAGGTGGAGGTTGCGGTGAGCCGAGATTGCATCATTACACTCCAGCCTGGGCAACAAGAGCAAAACTGTCTCAAAAAAAAAATTTTGTGACTGTTCTCGCTGAACTCACTAGTATATAGTCGGATCAGTCTGAGAGCCTGTCTGAGTCTTATTTCTCTTGACATGGCACAGAATGATAATCCAACCACACAGGTTACAAGAGCAAAGTAGATGCATGTGATTTTATATATATATGTGTGTGTGTGTGTGTGTGTGTGTGTGTGTGTGTGTGTGTGTGTATAAATAGTAGTATATTATTTATTTTGTTTAGAGACAAGGTCTCACTATGTTGTCCAGGCTGGTCTTAAACTCCTGGGCTCAAGTGATTCTCCTGTCTTGGCCTCCCAAAGTGCTAGGATTACAGGTGTGAGCCACCGCAGCCAGCCTGAATAGTTCTATATTATTATGTATATTGTAGTACTTATAAGTACTCATAGATATACTATAATATACATAGTACTATTCATCAACAATGATATTTTGTAATATCGGAGTCATAGTGATAACAAATATATTAGCATATTCTGTGAGGGCATCCCAAAAGTCACCCCAAAGCAATCTGAAGTAACTGGTACATTTAATGCATTACTTGTATCAAGCATTTGATTAGAGAGAAAACAGGTGCAGCATAAAACAAAAAGGCCTTTTTGTGTGATTTTTCTGGTTACATATCAAATCAGATTTATAATTATATAAATTATAACTAGCCCTCACTAGAAGCTAGGCTTGCTGCCAGGCTGATGAAGCCACCCAGAGGCTCCTAACTCAGAAGCCATAGCTCATAGCTCAGAAAATGACCTATGTTTTTCTCATGGCTATCAGGGCTCACAGTGGATGTCACAGGAGTGGCGTTCCCAGGCAAGCTGTCCTCCTGTAAATTCTGAGGATTGTGAGGTCCTGAAATTACTAGTGAGCGGATCTGGAAAATAGAAATTAATTGTCTGATTCCATTTCTACTAATTTAAATGTGTGTAAAATATTTAAAGGAATGGCAGGAATATGGGATGTGATCAAAACACTTTATTTCTGATCTCCTCCTGTGCCTAATGGATATTATGATAGGTCAAATAATGGTCCCTAAAGGTTCCTGTGTCCTAATCCCTGGGCCCTGTGAATACGTTACCTTGTATGGCCACAAGGCCTCTGCAGACATGATTAAATTAAGAAATTGGAGATGAGGAGATGACCCTGGATTATCTGGGTGGACCCAATGTAATCAACAGGGTTCTTATAAGACAGACACAGTAGGAGATAGAGAAGAAGGCAATGTGACATCTGAAGCAGAGATTGGAGTGATGTGGCTACAAGCCAAGGAATGCCAGCAGCCTCTGGAAGAGGCAAGGAATGGATTTTCCCTTGGAGTTTCCAGAAGGAACCAGCCCTACTGACAACCTCACATTGGCCAGGCACAGTAGCCAAGTCAGACTGATTTTGAACTTCTGACCTCCAGAAGTGTAAAAGAATATTGATGTGTTGTTTTAAGCCACTAAATTTGTAGACTTTTTTTTTTTTTTTTTTCTGAGACGGAGTCTTGCTCTGTCACCAGGCTGCAGTGCAAAGGCGCGATCTCAGCTCACTGCAGCCTTCACCTCCCAGGTTCACATGATTCTCCTGCCTCAGCCTCCTGAGGGTCCTGTAGCTGAGACTGCATGTGCTTGTCACCATGCATGGCTAATTTTTGTATTTTCGGTAGAGATGGGGTTTCACCATGTTGGCCAGCATGGTCTTGATCTCATGATTCACTTGCCACTGACTTTTTGTTTTTTTGAGATGGAGTCTCGCTCTGTCACCC